ATCCTTTCGGAGGTGTAGAGATGAGTAGTCAGCAGCTGGTAGAGATGTATACAGAGGCTTGATTGTTGTGATTGTGGAGACGTGTCAAGGACAACTTCAAGTCATTGTCTCTCTCCTTCTCCATCTATCCACGTTTCCCCAAATACCATGATTTATGATGTGCTGCAGGAAGCTTCATTATACCTTCTAATGAATGGGAGAGCAAAAGTCAATGACCAGACATGGTTAAATGGAGTGTCTGTTTAATATTTGATGACCCAACACTAGAAAGGAAATCTCTTTCAAATACATACTTGTTAGATTTTTTTTTTTTACCTAATTTAAGGCTGCTCTGTGTTTCCTGAACTAAAAGCCAGTAACCTCTAAATCTCACCTGCTACATAGGGCTAAAATATGAAATAACATCCCACGTAGGCCTGTTTTTTGAGTTGGTGGCCTACTAGATGTAGAATCTAGCATTAGGCCACTTATAGGGCAACTCAAGTACTTGGCAGGTTGCAGGAGGATAACTGTCTTTATAATTGATGTTAGTAGCTCAAGGGCAGAAAGTGTGCTTGTGGTTTCAGGGAAGGAAAGTACAATTGGATTCGTAGAAGAAGGGGATGGTGGTGCATCTGTTATGGGGTCACTTGTAGGAACCTCATTGTCATGGACCATCAACAGTACTTTGTTGGGTTTCCTTAGACTATGGTTAAGTACAGCTAAGATTCTCCATAAGCGATGCCAGACCTCATCCCGCACTGAGAAGTGTGGATATTGTCACCAATTTAGATAACTCTATTGAGCCATTGAAGAACTGTCACACTGTAGGAAGCTTGTACCGGGAGATCTGGAGAGGCGGTCATTGTTGTCCTCCAGAATTTAGTAGTTGCCTTGCTGTCTCCAGCTTCAACAATTTCTCATACGTTGACCAAAACAGACACACGGACCATGAAAATCAGAATCTCCTGGTGCCCAACCTGTGGCCCTATGGAATTTACCGTGCAATCCAAAGGGCCCCTCCAGTCTGATGTTCTGGTGCTTACTAAAGCCATTGAAGGAAAGCTACTGTTTAGACTGACTTCTAGTAGTTAATGGGTTGGTTTATTTCTTATTTATCTTTCTATTTTCTGTTTTGTCTGTCCCGCTTTTTATGCTTTATTTTCCTCTGATCTTATTATAATTGGTCTGGATGAGAGAAACATCAACTGTGGCACAAAGAAGACTGTAGGGCGCACAGATGTGGAAGCTCTGACTTGCAAAGGGTCTGCAATAGCGGTGATCTCTATTAGTCTCGGAAAACTTGTCTCCAGCCTATGACTGTCTCCTGAAGCATGTCTCCATTTTCTACCAACTCCTATCCTATAGCGTGTCTGCAGTCTCTCACTATCTCCTACTCTTTTCTGTAGCATTCCCGTCTCTGAATATTATGTGAGGCCCCTTGATGATGTCAGGAGCTGCGTTTGAGGTCCCCAATATCAAACAAGTTGGCCACTACTGACGTTATCACTTTACTTGTTACGGGTCCGTGATTCAGAAGGTACTGACACCAATGGATCAATATGGCAGCCACAGAATTTGCTCTTTCAGGAGAGATCAGCAATGGTGGCCTTCATTACTTTTCATTGAGGGCCCCATTCACAGTATCAGTAGTGGCATTTTCTACTGAGTTCAAAGGCATTTTGCATATACACTGAGTGGCCAGATTATTATAACCACCCCATCAGTACTTCGTTGGGCCGCCTCGTGACTCCACGAGATGATGAAAGGTGATGCGAGGAATCTGACACGGCACTGTTGCCCTTCTGTTGTCTTGTACCAGTCTTGCCACTCTCCGTTCTGCCCTAACATTGACTAGTCGCTGACGGCCACAATTCGCACGTTCACACCCAGATTTTCGGCTGACAGTCCGGTCTTTAAACACTTTAACAACAGCTGCTCTTGAACATTTAACAAATTCTGCTGTTTTGCTGATACTCGCTCCATGGCTCCGAGCGCCAACAATCATCCCACGTTCAAAGGCTGTTAAATCGCGTTGTTTCCCCGTATCTTCAGAAACAAATCACTTCTACTGTCGTGGTCAACAACCTGCTTCCCTATTTATAATGGTCTGGCCCTCTAGCAACTTCAGAGCGAAATTATAGCTAATTTGCCTACAAACGTCAGGTGGTCATAATAAACTGGCCACTCGGTGTATAGTCAGGTTAAAAAAAAGTCCATCGAGTTCAACCTATAGAGACTGCAAGCCTATTTGCAAGTGAATAAAAATGTATTTATGGAAAGGAAAAACACTGCAAGTAAGCAATTAAAATATTTTTTTTGTGTGTGTTTTCGCTTGCAATTTTGGTGACAGGCTCTCTTTTGGCGAATGGGTTTTAGCCCAGCTCCAGGGAACTTAAAAGTTTTTCCTTGCAGTGGAGCTGCCCCTGGACCGGTGACAGGGTCTCTTTTGGTGAGTAAATAAAGCCCATCTCTAAGGAAATCAAATGTTTTCCCTTGTATTGCAGGGCAGTCTCCTCAATGGTGACAGGGTCTCTTTTTGGTGAGAAATTCAAGCCCAACTCTAAGGAAATCAAATGTTTTCCCTTGCATTGCAGGGCAGCCTCCTTACTGGTGTCAGGGTCTCATTTGGTGAGTTAATTACACCCCAATGCCAAGGAAATTAAATGTTTTCCCATGCAGTGGGGCTGTCCCCGCACTGGAAGGGTTAAACTGCTCCTATATGACTTGGGGACAGGAAAAAGCTGTTTTACCTACCTGATCCATGCTCACCCGGCAGTGGGGGCTCTCCTCTTGTCACCCTCCACTTTGGCTGAAGGCGGTCCCTTGGCATTCTCACATACATTGCAGGGTTATGGATTCTGCATTGTACTAGATGACATCAGTGGTCTTTAGACCACTGGAGCGAAGGGGAGAAGAGAATGCAGGGACCGGTCTAGCAGCCTGGAGGAAGCCAGCTGGAGCGGGGATCAGGTAAGTAAAATAGCTTTTTCCTGTCCCTTAGGCTTAAAGGAGCAGTTATCCGTTGCAGTGCAGGGGCAGCCCCAGGGAAAGCTTTTCATTTTTGCGTTTGGTCTCATCCCTCCATCTCCTGAGTAATGGTCGGGTTGGACTGGCGTGCCCCTTTAACGTCTGGGAAAGGCAGATCGTGAGCGACGCAGCATTCAGCCTCGATCAAATTCACGGCGATGTCCAAGAGATTCTCTCCACCGCGTTGAATCAGTTCCAGACTTTTCCCGGCGTCTAATTTGTCTGTCGGGCCGGGCACGGAGTCAAGTTTACTTTAAGCCGTCAGATGTTTGTTGCTAGGAAGCCTGCCTGCGATTTGTGCAGAAATTAAAAAGGCAATTAAAATATTAATAGAAAGGCTTTAATTCCTCCAGAACTAATGAAGTGGTGCATTTTTATGAGGCTGACTCTTACACGAAGGAATATTAATTCACTGCGAGCCGCACAGCGAGCTCTCCCTGTACAAATGAGAACAAAAAGCCGTCTTTAGCTTCATCACACTAACTGCAATAAAAGAGAACGGCCGCTGATGTATCTCTGTTATATGAATCGAGGGCTACAAAAACAAAGGTTTGCGGAGGTTTGGCAAACGTGATCAGCTTATCGTTAAAACCTAACTCCGTTTGTGTTTTGCTTGTTTGCTTTTTTCTTTATTATCCTTTTCTGATGTCTTCTTGACATGTTGGGTCTTTTTGCCAAACAGGAAGTGAAGGAATCTCTCCAGTGGAGCCCCCAACGGCAATTAAACCAATCTATCCAAAACTTTTTGGCTATAGATATACTTTGACCCCACACCCCTTTCCAGCAGAACATACCTTGGATCACTGCAACGTGCTATGCCAACCAGGATTAAGTAGCTACATCCGGTAGTTCCAAGTATGAAGAAGTATATGACCCACTTCCATTCTTCCCAGTGGACAGCATAGGTGATTGGCCCAGTGCTGTCACATGGGGGCAGAGAGAGAGTCCTAAGTGCTGTGTAAGCTTGCTACTCAGAGTTAACACAAAGCTCCCATTATCCACTCCACAACAGAGCGGTGGGAGTGCGAGGTAATGGAGAGTATGCTCAACCAGAGAGGGGAAGTCAAGTGAAACTGTGCCTTGGACAGGTAAAGCAAAAGTTTGCTTTAATAACATATCAGGACCATCTTGGGTGTCTATAGGTAGTGATGATATTAAAGGAAGTGTCAGTCCTCCACCTCCTTGTATCCCCCCCCCAGGCTAGACTGACAGCATTGTGCAAAATCTGCCACCATACATCCCTTTATATCCCCACCCCCTGTAGGCATGTTCACAATGCTAGATTGACAGCACTGTGCAAAGTCTGCCACCATACATCCCTTCATCCCCTCTCTTGTAGGCATGTTCACAGTGCTAGACTGACAGCATTGTGCAAAGTCTGCCCCCATACCTCCCTGTATCCTCTCCTCCTGCAGGCATTTTCACAGTGCTAGACTGACAGCACTGTGCAAAGCAACAGAACCTGATTGGTAGCTAAAAACAAGACCTATTTTGGGGCAATCCTTCTAGTTTAAGGAATACCGTCTAACGATTGCTTTAATAAATACATAACTGAGCTAAATAATTGATTTTTCTTTCTCAGCATTAAATATTCATCATGGAGGGTGTAGATCCCGGAAACCCGGGCACAGAGATCTGTTTATCGGAGTCCCCGGGAAATGGAAGACGCCTTTTGGTGGTTTGCAGAGAGCTCAGAGATGTCAGTTCTGGGCTGACTGCTCCTCGTAGTTGTGTGATTTCCTCTCTTCATCAGAGACCTCTGTAGCTGAATTTCTGATATTTCACTTTTTTTCTTCTTCTTCTCACTTGATAATAATAAGCTTCTCCGACTCGATGAAAACACTCAGCAGAAAATGCAATTAGCATCATCAGTGCGATTAATGAAAGAGACAATAATTTACTAGGCTGTGTGATCATTTTTATTATCTCCCATTGGGTAGATGAGAAGCTGCTCCTTCCCTCATTTCCTCTTTCTTGTCTTGTTATTTTAGGCTCTGTCTATGAACCTCTGAAAAGCATCGACCTCCCCAGGCTGGACAATGAGACGCTGTGGGATAAATTGGATCGTTACTACCGAATCGGTGAGTAGAGGATTGTAATTTTGGCCTCTCGTTGCAGAATCGAGGAGTCTCTGTCCTTTTGCTGCCTCCCAGACCAATCAGTTGTGGCAGGGGCACACTGACACACCCTGCTCATGGCCCAATCAGTTTTGGCAGGAGCACACTGACGCCCACCCCTCCTGGACCAATCAGTTGTGGCACGGGTACACTGACACACACCCCTCCCGACCCAATCAGATGTGGCAGGGGCACACTGACACACACCCCTCCCGGCCCAATCAGTTGTGACAGGGGCACACCGACACCCCCCTGCCAACACTCCTAGCCCAATCAGTTGTGGCAGAGGCACACTAACATAGCCCCCTCCCAGCCCAATCAGTTTTGGCAGGAGCACACTGACGCACACCGCTCCTGGACCAATCAGTTGTGGCACGGGTACACTTACACTCCCTACTCCCGACCCAATCAGATGTGGCAGGGGCACGCTGACACACACCCATCCCAACCCAATCAGTTGTGGCAGGAGCACACTGACACACAACCCTCCTGGCCCAATCAGTTGTGGCAGGGGCACGCTGACAGCGCACAACCCCCCCTCCCCTGCTCCAAGCCCAATCAGTTGTGGCAGAGGCACACTAACATAACCCCCTCCCAGCCCAATCAGTTGTGGCAGGGGCACGCTGACAGCGCACAACCCCCCCTCCCCTGCTCCAAGCCCAATCAGTTGTGGCAGAGGCACACTAACATAACCCCCTCCCAGCCCAATCAGTTGTGGCAGGGGGGCACTGACGCACCCTCCTGCTTCTAGCCCAATCAGTTGAGGCAGGGGCGCACTGGCACACACCACTGTCGGCCCAATCAGTTGTGTCTGTCAGGAGCACACTGACCTACACCCCCTCCTGGCCCAATCAGTTGTGTCTGTCAGGAGCACATTGACACACACCCCTCCTGGCCCAATCACTTTTGACAGCCGCCCTACAGCTAGGAGAGAACAGAGTGGAGTGCAGCTTTAAATTCAGAATCGGAGTTCAAACTGGCCGTGCCTCCCATTTTAGTACAGATCCAATACCAATGGCTTTTGGTGGCACAATCAGATCGGAAGGATGCATGCGTAATGTTTAGTCATACTTGGATAGTTAATTAGCAGTAGTTGTGCCAAGCAATCTTGGGTGAAACTTGGGTTTGTTTCACCCTCTGGACATAAATATCCAGCTGTAAAGAACACTTCTGGATCCTCTCACACAACACATCACTTCCTCGCTGGCTGGAAGGGGTGGGGCTGGCACCAGTCAACTTTGTCTGCTTGCCTGACTCCTTTGTTTCATTGGCTGCTGCCTGCCCACTGCCTGGGTCCTTTACATCCCCCTATTACTCCTGCATTGGCATTATCACATTACCGATGGCGGGGTGGGTGGAGTTGGCACGAGTTAGCTTTTCCTGTTCACCTGGCCATTTTATTTCACTGGCTGCTGCCTGCCCAGTGCCTGGGTCCTTTACCACCCCCCTTTACTCCTGCACTGGCATAATAACATTGCAGCTGGCTAGAGTAGGTGTAGCTGGCACCAGCAAGCTTTGCCCACTCACCCGGCTCTTTCATTTCATTGTCTGCCCACTGCCTGTGGCCCTTACAACCCCCCTGTTACTCCTGCATTGGCATTATCACATTACCGATGGCTGAAGTGGGTGGCGCTGGCACCATCAATCCTTGCCTGTTCACCTGGCCCCTTTACTTCATTGGCTGCTGCCTGTCCATGCATTATTTATCCAGGCTTTTAATCTTAGGAAAGGATGCATTGCACACCAAAGATCCCACCCGAAACCCAGTGTATTTCACTGACTTTTTTTTAGCTATTTGAGGACATCGCCATTTTCTAATCGGTAATTTCTCAACTTCCACACCCTCCACACAGACCGTAGGCATGTGAAAATAGTTGTGGCTTTACATTGAAAAGTTTGCTTTCTGGTCCTGCTGGACTCATTTATTTACTCCTGCAGTTTTTCCTGCATTATTTATAACATAAAAAACACAATTTCGGCAGGCTGAGGTAAATCCTCTCCAAACGGAATCAAGGGGTCAGCTGAAAGCCTCCGAGATTTCGCCACAGGGGATTCACAGAGGTCTCAGAAGGCCAATGGCCGACTCAGTTCAGCAGGGGTCCGTCCTGAACTTAAATAACCATTTTGGGTAAATCGATCTTTCTGAATTTTAAAAGGAACCAGCGAGTCTGGCGTCAGCGCACAGTTCAGACTTTTTATAAGGTCACAGATCACATTCAGAACTTAAACGTAGTGGCCCTTCATTTTCCGCAGAGCGCTGAAATTGCCTTTTCATTCGCTGGGTTACTCTGCTATGTTCATATCGCTCAGCCAACACCAGAAGACATACTGCTGTGTGATTGCTCTCTGTGTACACCTCGTTTGGCTCACCGCTGAGCGCAACACATGCAAAGTCATCACAGTAAAACAAAAATACGTTGTTTTTTTTGTTTTTTATTTTTAAGATGTTAGCTTGCCAACAAAGACTCACTGCATCTGTATGCAATATCAAGCTGACCTCACAAGTCATTTGTTCCATCAAATATACAGTTATATTACCGCAAATGAGGTGCCTGCTAGCTAACTGTAGTCTGATTTCTGTCCGAGCTGCAAAAGTGTTCACACCTATGTGCTGTGGCAGATCGAAAGAGTGTTACAGCAATGTACTGCAGGGTGGTGACGTTAACGCGTTTCCGGGGCACGTTCTGATGAAGGGGGCGTGCCCCGGAAACGCGTTAACGTCACCACTATACTGGTATCACCTAGTGGACATCTCACTGCTTGTCAGTCCTCACCTCATGACTTTGTGACACTCATGTTTGTGAGTATGATTCGGTTTTCTATTTATGTTTATTGAAATAAAAGTGATCTGCACCAGGAAAGGCGCCCCTCTTTGTGCTTATTTCCTAGATTTCCAGCTTTCCCGGCTTCTTTGGGGCAGCATCCTGCAGTATGCCTAAAAGCAAGTCCTATTAAGAACTGACAGTCCGTGGCGCTTCACACACACTGAGTGGCCAGATTATTATGACCACCCCATCAGTACTTCGTTGGGCCGCCTCGTGACTCCACGAGATGTTGAAAGGTGATGCGAGGAATCTGACACTGCACTGTTGTGCAGAACGTCATGAATTCCCTTATGATATTGTTCTATGAGTGGACAAATCCCCAAATTACCTGGGTCCCTATGGCACGCATCAAAAGATCCATCCTTGACTGAAGGCCAGAAGTACATCCAGTTTTCTGTCATATCTTAAGGACTAAAGTGTTGGTAGAGACAAAAATGTTCCAAAAGCTCCAACTAATATGTCCAACCGCTCATGACTCCGTTGGGTCCTCACCTACAGATGGGGTCCCCACCTACAGTTCTTTGGCCTACCAGTTGCACATTAGGCCCAAGCGCTGCATCTCTGGAGAAGATTACATTCTCCCCACTATATTGCTGCGGTGGCCACAGACGGAGCAGTGGGGGTGGTGGGGCATTCTGGAGAATCGAGTATGAAGTGAGTCAAGGATGGCGAGCTTTACACCAACATTGTCGTGTTTTCCCTAGATGGGCCAGGTGACAAGAGTCTCGGGCCCGTTCACACCACATCCAGATCATCTCCAGACCCAAAATGCATCCTAATGTATCCCTATTCTGGCCTCTGTTCACACCAGCGCAGTCCGTTCCAGACCAGAAAAATACTGCACGTTTCATTTTGTCTGGTCTGGAATGCACTGGAACTGCGGGCAGGTTAACACCATTTTCCGCTCCAGGTCTGGTCCGGAAAATGATGTGAACCTGGCCTAAGGCCCACACGACTACTTTCTTGTTTGGTCTTCCCTCACCAGGTACAGATAACGAAATAACACATATTTCCTTTTTTCATCACCTGTCTCCTGCTTTGGAATGTAATCAGCGTGCATTGTGTTGCGCCAGTGTCTTTGGTTCGCTGCGTTAGCTCAGTTTGACAACTCATTATCGAGAATTATAAATTGCAATTAAGAAGTAATTTAGGCGGCGTTCCATTCTTTCACATATATCCATAATTGGTGGTTTATTTTCATTTTGTTTAAGTGGCAATGTACTCCCAAGTGAAAATACAGTACGAGCCTTCTGTTTTATGATAGGTGATGAGACAATGGAAAACTTGGATGGATTTAGGGTGACACTTGTGGGCTTTTTCTCTCCCGAAATGTTTAACGCATTGCTGTTTACGTTTTAAGTGGACTTCAATGACATCAGTTGGGCGCTTGTCGGTACGGCAGTCCCCGGGTAACGAACAAGATAGGGACTCTAGGTTTGTTCTTAAGTTGAATTCGTATGCAAGTTGGAACAGGTACATTTTTTAAGTGTAACTCCAGCCCCAATTTTGTTTTCTGTTTGTTTTGGATAGCATAGGGAAGGGTTAACCCCCTGTAATATTTGTTTTGCTGTGTGTGCCCCTGTTCAGAAGATTTCACCTCACTTTCTGTCCCTGTGATAATTGGATTTTGAAAATTTTTAGTTGTCGTGGAAACAAGGATTGGTGATAAAGCTTCAGTGGAGACACCTTTTTCCCATGATATCTCTTACAGGAGTGCATTTCCCTTCCTAGGAGTAGATTTCCTCTCACTTCCTGTTGTCTCAAGGACAGGAAGTGAGATTAAATCTTTCTAATGAGGATACAGACGGCAGTAAAAACCTCACTGCGACCCGGAAGAAGAGACGGGCACCCCTCATGTGCACAAGTAACAAGAGCCAACTGCCTGTAATGTAAGTACAGTACTCCGAACCAAACCCAAGAAGGCGGGCACTCCTCGTCGGCACGAGCCTAGTAGCATTACAACTACCCCTGCTGTACAGTAATAGCCTCCGTTTGTAAGTAGGAGTCGGATGTATGTAACTCGGGGACTGCCTGTATTATCAAACCTTATCATTTTAAGTAACAGAAATACCTTTACATTAATAAATACATAATAATAACACTGCTCCTTATCTTCACATGACCTAAAGCCAAAACAAT